TGGTCAAAGTTCCACTGTTAGAAATACATTCCTTTAGTTTAAGACATTGCTGTCTCTTAAAAGCCAAATTCCCCTTTCATGAGTTGCTATATCAACCCTTTCTTAGTCATTCACCACTTAGTGTGACTGTTACTCAGATCCCTTGCAAAGAGACATCATTACCTGGAGAGAAGGCTTTGAAAGGTTCAGGTGGGAGATACACCTCCCTCTGACTCACGCATTCCTGTGCACTCTCCCAGGTGCATGCCCACCCTCCCTGTGCACTCTGACAGGTGTGTGCGTTGCTCTTGTCATCCCCAGGGCTGACAGGCTTTTCCTCTCTCTCTCACTACATTTTTTGTCCTCATGGTTCAAGACCAAATCAAACACTGATGCAACTGCAAATCTTTCTCCAGTCCCTTCCTGCAGGGTAAACTCCTTACCCTTCTGAGTTTGAAAGACCCTTTTACAAGCCTCTGTTATTGTGCTGATCATCATCAAAAATGTCTCAGCAGCAGCAGTGCATGTGGCATACTCCCATCTTTATGTTCTACCGCAGTGCCAGGCACCTAATAAATACTCTGTGCACATTCATTCCTTTCCCCCTACCTTTGTTCCCCTTGAGAGGAGCTGGCAAAGGGTCACAGTCCCATCGCGTGTTAGCTGTGTGACCCTGTGCAGCTTAACCTCTCTAAGTCTCAATTTTTCCTCTATAAAATGGAGACAGTAATACACCTGACTCCCCAGGTCCTTACAAAAATAAATGAAATAATGTGTAATAGCATGGAGGACATTAGGAGAAGGAAGGGAAAAATGAAGGGGGGGCAATCAGAGAGGGAGACGAACCATGAGAGACTATGGACCCTCAGAAACAAACTGAGGGTTTTAGAGGGGAGGGGGGTGGGGGGACGGGTTAGCCCAGTGATGGGTATTAAGGAGGGCACGTTCTGTGTGGGACACTGGGTGTTATGCACAAACAATGAATCACGGAACACTACATCAAAAACTAATGATGTAATGTATGGTGACTAACATAACAATAAAATAAAATAAAATTTAAAAAAATAAAATGCTTAGCTCACTGCCTGGTATGCAGTGAGTGAACAGTCAACACAAACGATAGTGGTTATTATTAGTGGTAAATGTCAATACTACCCCATCATTTCCTGAGCACCAGGCATGGTGGGAAGCATTTTACGTGCTGTATCCTGGAGTCTGCACTAGAACAATGCATTCTTAGGGGCTGGTACTCTCTCCTCTTTCTGTTGTTGTTGCATTCCAATGCCTCAAACAGTGCCTGGCACATTGTAAGTGCTCCATTAATATTTGTTGGACAACCCTCTGAAGTATTATCTTCTCCATGCTTTCTAAAGTAGATATTCTCATTACACTCATTTTATAAGATATTGGAAAAGACACACTGTAAAGTCATAAACTTTTGTTGGTTTGATTAATTTGAACAGCTCAATTTCTTCATTAGTAAATTCGAATCACGGTAATAATTATCTGACAAGGGTGTTAGGAGATAACAAATGGAAAGGAAACACTTTCTAAATAGTTAGTATTCTACAAATGTTCCTTAATCTCAATCTGATCTTCATCCAGTTCTTATAAAGTCTAGTGTGAACTTCAGGGTGCTGTCAGCCTCAGTGGTTTAAGCTACAAAAAAAAAGCATGGTATTTTGAGGACGTGGAGAGCTGGGGCAAACCAGGAGATAGACTCCCCGCTCATGGGGAGGTGAAGGAGCCCTGGTAATACCTTCTCCCTGGTCTGACACATTTCTGCCTCCTGGTCCTTCATCATGCTCAGGGTCAGAGCTGAAGAGGCAGCTCCAGGGCACTTCAAAAAATGTTCTCTCATTGTTTCTCAGTTGTGCTCACTTTAATCTATCACATAACTCTGAGGACATTATCACTCATCTGTTTAAGTACTTGGAATACCACCACTTATGTCCCTAAAGATGCTGTCAAGCTGCGGGAACTTAGAGGAAAAGACCCCCAAGCTCATGACTTTACTGATTACTTTTGGGTAATAGACATTTCCACAGTCTTGTTAAGTCACAACCACACTCTTAATTCAGAAAATGGAAGATCCGGTCTCTCAGGCAATAATCAAAAACTTGGATTTCATTTAAAGTTCTAATCTTTTCTCTAGTACCTCCACCTGGGCCTGCTGCTGGGGGAAACTAAGGTCCTGGAAGGGGGCATAAAGCTTTTCTTTACCACTTAATGCTTCCACTCTTCCTCCCCATGATGCTGATGGGGAGGTTTCTGAAGCTTCCAGAAAGGCCAGGAAGGGAATAGAAAGAGGAAAGGGAAAGAGAGGTTTAAAAAAGGCCAAGTAGGTGATGGGGTGGAGGGCTGGTGGAGATCTAGTTTCATTGGTATTATCATATTGCAGCTTCCAGGTCTCTGGGCAGGTAGATGTTTAAAACTAGGTCTTACTTGTATGGATGTCTTGGCTTATACTTCAGGCACCCCAAACAATGGTGACCTCTCCCCAGTAATTCTCTTGACCCGGAAGAATGAACCCTATCCTGGCAAACACTTCTGTAGCCCTATTAGACAGGACCTAATATGGCCCCATATTTACTCTCTCTTAGTGAATCACATCTGGCCCTCAGGAAACCCTTATACATGCTTTGTCTCAATAAACTCTGGGAATGCTGGCCAAACACAATATAAACACAACTCCCTGTCACAGTTAGCCAGCCCAAATCCCATCCTCTAGATTTCCCAGGCAAGATCAGGTAGACAAAAATTCCATGGAGCTCCCAAACTGCTCTCCAGGTGGTAGGATTGAGCCCCTTGCCTCATGTTTGCCTCAAGAAGCAGGTCTTTTGATTCCATTTCTATGATGGGAAAACAACACACAGCACACCAACAACTCTTTCCAAAGAGATCTACTCCAAAGATTCTCTCTCATGCTCCATGTTTTGGACTCTTATATTCTCAGTTCTAGTAGCTGAAACTTCCTTAGTTTCAGCTTCTAGAGCCCCAACAAGGGGCTCTCAGGAGCAAATTAAATCAAGTTTTTGACAGTTGGATAGGTCGAACAAGAAAGATCCTCTTAAGCAAATTAAATGCATTTGTGTCATCTTTGGCTTATATTTTCTATTTTTGAGAAGGTTTACTGAGGCTTAGTCAATAAAGTAAGAGATTTGTGGAATGTTGAAAGGACTTTAGTACATATCTAGTTCAACTTGTTCATTTTACAGAGGAGAGATCTGAAGTCCAATAAGAATTATCACAAAATATACAACCAAGGGGCGCCTGGGTGGCTCAGTTGGTTAAGCGTCTGCCTTTGGCTTGGGTCAAACTCTAGTCTTCTCTAATAGTAATACAGTAAATCCTCAGTGATTTATTCTTTTGGTTGTATATTTTGTTTTTGTTTTTAAATCAGTTTTTAACTTTTTATTACTTTTTTGTTTTTTTAAAAATATTTATTTATTTATTTGACACACAGAGAGAGAGAGAGCACAAACAGGGAGAGCAGCAGGCAGAGGGAGAGGGAGAAGCAGGCTCCCCGCTGAGCAGAGAGCCCTACATGGGGCTTGATCTCAGGACCAATGCAGCCAGATCACAAATTTTATTTAAGGAAGCAATAGATGACAGATCAGTAAAATGCAAAGTCAAGACTCTGAGTTATCCAAAAGACGGATATTTCTTTCCCATCAGGTGACTGGTTATAAGCAGAATTATACTCCATGGCCCCATGGGCTTTTAAACACATAAAAATACTCTAAAGTTTAGTCCCCTCCATACACTGCACCCCTTTCTTCTTTTCAAAGAAAAGGTGCTTGGTAAATACAATCCATTCTCAGAAAGGGATTTTTGAAAAATGTGTTACATAAGCTTTTATCTTGCAAGTCCTGTTAGGCAGAAGGTATTCCGAAAGAAAGAAATGTGGTAATTCTAAACTTTTCACCATGTGCTTTTTCTGCAAAATGGAAACCAAATGAGGTTTAAACACTAGCAGGCTGAAAGTGAATATGTTTTAAGTTTCTTATACTCCAATATTAAGACCTCGTGTCCTCAAAAGACTTTCATGCTGCTGCTGTACAAAAGGGGAAAACAATGGAACCAGAACTATCTGGACTTTTGGTGGATCAAATGAATGAAGTCCCCATTCATTTATTCACTCAACAAATACACTGGGAGTACACTATGTATAGGATACGATGTTAGGTTATGGCTCAGATAAGATGTAGGGCAGGCAGCCAGCATTTTTAAATCAGAGAAAACAAGTCTCAGATTAACTATAATACACGTGAATATGTGATTAGGGCAGTAAAAATGATCAGAGGTTGGTAGAGGTGGAGTCAGGACGACTTCTGGTTGATAAGAAAGAGGCAAGGAAAGGCATGACGGAGGGGGCGACTTTTGAGTTGGCCCTTGAGAGTATATTTAGACAAGTAGAAATGGGATTGACAAGCAGAGATGGAATCTGAAAGAAGATCAAGGCAGACTGCTGACATGCATGCACAACATCCTCGAATTAGCCTCTGACCTCGCCCTCCAGTTGCTGACGTTCTAGTGGGGAAGATGAGACATGGACACAGTTATAACCCAAGACAGGCTGTGATACTGTGACCAGAGCTGCTTGGATCTCTGGGTCTAGGGCAAGCTCTCTCAGCCAGCGTCAGAGTCTGCGCTTACCTTCCTCCTTACCCATTCAAAACACACCACATGCTGAAATTGAAAATATGAGCTCTCTGAAGCAATTGTCTGTTGTTATATAATACATCTGTTTTCCTTTGTGTGTAGAACAGCCCTTTAGGGAAAATTCCAAGGAGGGTACATATTCTTCCTCTTCCTGTCATGATTGGCTGGGGTCAAGAGGCAAAAGAGCAGAGATTCATTCATGATGGAAATAATCCAAGGTCTTATCCTCTGTTTCCCCGAGCAGTCTTAGATTTTTTTAACCAGTCCCCTGCCTGAAGCTCAAGCCTCCCTCCCTTCAATGCACAGCTGAGAAACCTCCCTCCCACTTCTCCTTCTCACAACCACCAACAAAAGTTATGGCTGTGGGTGAATGGGAAAGACTGAAGCTTGAAAATCGGCCAGGCATGAGCCATCACCCTTTTTCTGACCTTAGCAGAAATTTCAAAGTGAGACTTAAAGAAAGTTAAAATCTCTGAGCCTGGTTATTATGAGAAACATAGCAACCATGACTACAGGAAGTTTTATTTTCAAACTGAGGCCTCAGGAAGCCCCACCCCACACACAAGCCTGTCAGTCCTTTAGGAGACTTAGCAGTTATTGCAGAGATGACTTGGCTCCATAAATAACAATAATACTTCACATTTGTTTAGAATTCTTAATCTCAACTCATTACTGTTAAATACAAAGCATATATATGTAGTGAGAAAAATAATCAACAAAATTATGAATTGGGATTATATTTAATATAATTTCCTTTATTTATTATTATTTTATTTATTATATTTAATATAATTTTGCATATATTTACATAATAGTCATACTATGGAAGTGGCTAATATTTCCAAGGGAGAGTATCTGTACATTGCAAAGGGGAAATAAAGATTGATAACCTTAAGATATTCCCATATTTATGGAATTGATAGAAAATGAGGTCAAGAGAGAAAGAAGCTGGGAATGTCAATTGAGGGTGGTAGTAAGCAAATGAGATGGCATCGTTCACAAGAATATTCAGTGTAATTTACCCCAAATCTATTAACTAGATGTCAAAAAAGTAAATGCGCCCCACTGGGCAATTTCTCTTGAGAGATTTGAAGAATCACTATGACTCCTTATTTTAATGTTTTCCGATATATTTCTCAATGATCAGGGAACTCATGACAATTATTTCCTCTATAGAAACACTGTGAGAAAATTAAAACCCATAGAATTGTAAATAGAAGGAATTTCTTTCTGGTTTTCTTTAAGACCCTGGTTTCTAATATAAAGAAATGTCCCAACTTCTTAGTCACCGGACAGTGGGAAGTTGTTTCAGAAAAGGATGGGAAACAGGAATCTGCTATTGTTGATGCTGTAATGATTTGTTCAGGACATCATGTATACCCCAATCTACCAAGTGATTCCTTTCCTGGTAAGTTTGGAAAATATACAATAGTCTGGGGACATACACAAATATCAAGGGTTGAGCTAGATCTTTCCATAGATTGTATGTAATAATTATTCTTAAGTTTCCAAAGATTTCAAAACAAAATTTTGAAGTCTGATGATATGTGAAATATAGAAATAATTGGCCTCCTGAACTCTTATGCTAAAAGAATCAAGGACCTGCAAGTCAGAGATCAGATGAAGACCTGTAAAGGAAGTGTTTGTGTAGAGGGAGGGTTTTTAAAAAGTCATCTATAGGCACATTTTGCAAATTCACTTTAGAAATTTCAGTGTGGGGTGGGGGGATGGGTTAGCCTGGTGATGGGTATTAAAGAGGGCACATTCTGCGTGGAGCACTGGGTGTTATGCACAAACAATGAATCATGGAACACTACATCAAAAACTAATGATGTAATATATGGTGATTAACATAACAATAAAAATTTTAAAAAAATAAACAGTAACACAAGAAAAAAAAAGAAAAGAAATTTCAGTGTGTGTGTGTGTGTGTGTGTGTGTGTATAGTTGCATACTCCATTACTAAACAAAATGCCAAACATCAGATAAATACAATACACAAGCAACCATCCTTTCTCCTTCCTTCCTTCTTTCTTTGCAACAGGAACACATGTCCACTATAAAATACTAGACTTCCAATCTGCAGGCATGCTGTTCATAGGCCAAGATCATTAAGAGTAAGATTCAGGAAGAATAGAGGATTGAAAGCATGAAGGTTTTAAGAGGCAGTGTATTTAGGGGTTCTGAATGTAGCCTTAGAACACTCGGGCTCAACCTCTTATGCCGCTAGTTCCTTACCATGTGACCAAAGACGAGTCACTTAATTTCTCTGTCTTGATTTCCTTGTCTTTTAAAATAGGGATACTAGTATCTGCCATTCAGAGATGTTATCAAGATTAAACGTTAAACTGTAAATCCTTTAGCAGAGGGCCTAGCCCACAGTAAGTACTCAATAAATATTAGCTATGATGACTATCAAAATATAAGTTCCCATACTGTAGGTTTTTTAAGGCACTGTAAGTACTTAGTTGGGGGTTTATTGTCAAAAACCACTAAAAGGATAAACGCATTTCAACTAGGAAACTTTTTTAAAAAATTAAGACTGATAATAGGAATTTTTTTAAAAAATGGAAACAGTGAGTCTCCACCATTTCTTCTGAAAATCAACTCAAACCACTCCTCATGTTCCACTGAGGCTGACATCAATTTCAAGGCCACTACCTCCACAGCAGTGACTATAAGGACCCAGAAGCCTTCAAGGGGAAGAGGGTCCTTGTGATCGGCCTGGGGAGCTCAAGATCTGACATTGCTGTGGAGCTTAGCCATCTGGCTGCACAGGTACACTGTGAGAAAGAAAGCTGGGGTACAGCTCTGCTCTTAGATCAAAGCTTAGGCTCTGAGGCTCGTGTTTGCCACATCATAAGACAAGGGATCCACCTATTGCATATGCCCATTGAATCAAGGAGGACTTAAGACATTCTCCCTGTGAATCAAGGTAATGTGGCCCAGGCTGGCAAGGAAGTACATTCTGCTGGACCCAGAGGTAAGTGTACATGTGTATATATGTATATATAAGAGTGCATTTTTTGTTTTAATTTTGTGTTCTGATCACTTCTAAGCAAACTGTTGCTAGTCAGGATCCACCTTTATTTATATAACAGTATTTCTTATCACCTACCATACAAAAGGCATTGTGCTTATCTTTCTGAAGGTCTGGAAGACATGTACGATTTGGTTCTTACTGTCGTTTATCCACTCAAAGGCCAGTGCTCAACAAACACTGGGCACATGTTATATGCCAGAACTATGTCCGACTAGAATTAAACACAGAAATAAGTCAGAATACTTCTTGATTTGCAGGAGCAGTCAGTGGGTGGAGGTGAGATGACAGGCACGAAAGGAAGTAATAAAAATGCCACACATTAGGTGTGGCAATGGCAGCACCATAAAAAGAGAACCTAGCTTAGCCTGGATGAAGTCAAAGAAGGCTTCCCAAAGGACTCTAAGCTAAATCATCCATGACCAATAGACCCTGAAGAACTTAACCTATTTTTAAGGAAACATATGCTCAATAAACAAATTCTTAAGGGTATGTAAATAAAATTTAAGGAATTCTTTGAAGTTCAGTTCCCTTGGGTTGTCACAAAAGTGGCATAATAAACAAGCAGCTGGGCTTGTCTCAGAGCTGAGACAGCTGCCATGGTTTGGGTGCTTAGCAGAGGTCGTGGAGTGGGTGTGTAAGGACTGGAAGAGACTTCAGACAGAGAACTGAATTAACTCTTTGGCATCTCTTCAGCCTAATTTCAGGTAAAGATTTAGCTACATTTCTTCCACCCAATCCAGCAACTACCACCATCTACTACCACTGAGGCTCTGGACTGGCCGGTATCCACCAGTCCTACATCAATGTCTCTGACTCTGTGAAGATTAGGCCCATCACAACTGAATACACAGCCCTCTTGTTCCAAGATGACAGGTTCTCATTATTTCCACAACTCTGCACTACCCCTCTGGGGTGTAGAGGCAGAGTAGTTCTGTCTCTACCTAGTTTCAATCATGGACTATTCATCTTGACCCAACTCTTTAAAAATGCTTCTGCCTGGATATTGAGGGAAATGTATGGAGATTGTCCACAGAACATGTCCATTGTGTCATATCTGCTTCTTTCTTACAGAGTGATATTGAAATCCATGTTGCCTTCCCCACCAGGTCATTATCAGCAGCAGAAGTGGTTCCTGGGTCATGAGCCAGGTTTGGAATGATGGCTATCCTTGGGACATGGTGTATGTGACCCGTTTTGCAACCTTCCTCAGGAATACCCTTCCTTCATTTGTCTCTGACTGGTTATATGTCAAGAAGATGAACATGTGGTTTAAGCATGAGAACTACGGCCTGATTCCTTTAAATGGGTACTACAAATAACTCCTATTTTATCATCCAAAAAAGTGGGGCACTAGTTTCAGTGGAAATTTTCTCTCTAGGTCTAACTTTAATCAGCTCACTGAGGTTATTGGGATTGAACTGAGGACTGCACGACTGACACAGTATACTCGGAGATCATGCATGCGGTGAAAATCTTACTGAAATGACTCTAGTGGGGAAAGGTACATGGGAAAATACAAATGGCAAAGGAGCAGACAGCTAGATACCCCTGACATGCAAGATTCATTTATGGTAGCTACAAGCTATAGCATGGAATTTTGAGGGCTGAGCCAATTCATGAATTGTCCTTCTGCAGAATATCTTACCCATGTTATGGGTAAATGAGGATAGCAATAATAATATCTACTCCTCAAAACTATCGTGGTATGAAGTAAGATAAAAAAAATTAAGGCATTTTGTAAACTATAAAGCTTTACAAATATTGGTTCTTATTAATCTTAAATTTTCCAATATGCTTCTAAAGAGCAATGAACAAAGTAGTACTAATCAACATGTCTCAGAAAGCAGAAAATCTCAAAATGAAAGTGCACACCTCCTTAACCACAGAGTCTGGGATTTTAGCAGGACAGTCAGGATGCATGGAACATGTAAAACAATGAAGATTCACAAAACTGATGTAGCCTTTAAAATTAAGATTTGTTTATATACTTCTGTATAGAGACAGAGCCCAACACCTACTAACTAGAAAGGCATACTAGGGGCACCTGGGTGGCTCAGTCAGTGAAGCATCGACTCTTGATTTCAACTCAGGTCATGGTCTCGGGGTCATGAGGTCAAGCCCCGTGTCCGGCTCCATGTGGGCATGGAGCATGCTTAAGATTCTCTCTCGTTCTCTCTCCTTCTGCCCCTCTGCCCCTCCCACTCTGCTCACATGCTCCCTCTCTAAAAAAAAAAAAAAAGGAAAGAAAGGAAGAAAGAGAGAAAAAAAGAAAAACATTCTTGGCAGAAGAATCAGTATATCCATAGAAAACTATTAAAGTGGGTAAGACAAGAAAGGACTCACTAAGAAATTTCATCTTGGCCCATGCTAACAAAAATGTTTCATTCTGGGGGCACCTGGTTAGCTCAGTCAATAGAGCATGCAATCTCAGGATTGTGAGTTCAAGCCCCATGTTGTGTGTAGAGGTTACTTAAAAATAAAATCTTTAAAAAAATGTTTCATTGTGTTTAGAGAATCAGATAAGGAAAAACAAGAGGAAACTGTAAATTGGAATAGCAAATACCAGGTTTAGGAGCCAGACCCTCACTCCACAGCATTTATCCTATCTAGTCTGGCAGACTGCTACATCCCTAAAGAAAAAAAAAATGTTGATTTCATGGATTTAAAATTGTGTTTAATGTAACAGAAGCTCCAAAACCTGAGCTGATTAAGACTTTTTGTCTTGTAAGAGTAACTGTAAATCATATTCTGGCTTTGCCCTTTAGACAACTGAAACATAGATTTGGAAATCCATTCATTCCAAGGATGAAGCTCCCTCTTAGAAAAGGTTCCAATTACTCTAAGGTATTGATGACACCTTCTCACTCCTCCCTTGGGTAAGGGGCAGGGGGAGAAAAACAGGTTTTATTGTGACCTACTTTTTGTCACCTTATAAAGCAAAAGAAGAGGTGGCAGAATTATAGACATAGAGAATGGTGTGGAAGTATATAGACAGATTCTAAGATTTATAAACTTTCTGAGTGCTTCAGATACTTGGAATAAATTCCAAAATCTCTGAATCCTAGAATTTTGGCAATCAAAGTAAAGGAAACCAAACATGGCAATAAAGCAGCTCACCAAGTAAATTTGATTTTCTCATAGAAGACCTCATTCATAATAATAGTTCACTTACAACAATGATGCTTGCAAGTGGCAGACACTCTTTTAAGTGCTTTCCAGGTAATGTTATTTAATTCTCCCAACAACAGTATGAAGTAGATTCTATCACTATTCCCCATTTTATACATAAGGAAACAAATACAGAGAAGTAGCCACTCGTGAGAGATAGAGGTAGACTATAAATTTGGCCATCTGGTTCCAGATTCTGCACTCTGAACCACTGATTATGTCTAGGAATTAGTTTTATTCTCATCTATTTGGTGAATCACCAAATCATATAAGTACTCATAAGGAAATCTTCAAGCTTCAAAAGGCCAAAAGAGGCAGCTCAGACAGAAATTCTTTTTTTTTAAAGATTTTATTTATTTATTTGAGAGAGAGAGCATGAGCGGGGAGTAGGGGCAGAGGGAGAAGCAGACTCCCCACTGAGCAGGGAGCCTGATGCGGGGTTCTATCCCAGGAACCCTGGGATCATGACCTAAGCTGAAGGCAGATGCTTAATTGACTGAGCCACCCAGAATTTCTTTTTTTTTAATTTTTTTTTAATTTTTTATTGTTATGTTAATCACCATATATTACATCATTAGTTCTTGATGTAGTGTTCCATGATTCATTGTTTGTTCATAACACCCAGTGCTCCATGCAGAATGTGCCCTCTTTAATACCCATCACCAGGCTAACCCATCCCCCTACCCTCCTCCCCTCTAGAACCCTCAGTTTGTTTTTCAGAGTCCATCATCTCTCATGAATCACAGATCTGTACTTCTGAAACAAATAACACCCAGAATTTCTTAAGGATTGTTGCGGACAATAGGAAAAAAACTGCCACAAAAGGAGAGCTCGGTAGTCCTCATGCTAATGTTTAACTCCTCAAATTTGATTCCAGTGCTATAAACTATTGCAGATATTTCTTGGAATTGAGGTATGTTACAGCAAGAGCCTTTGTATCTTGTTTCTGAACAGTGCCCTGAGGAAAGAGCCTGTGTTCAATGATGAGCTCCCATCCTGCATCCTATGTGGCACTGTGTCCATCAAGCCCAGTGTGAAGGAGTTTACAGAGACCTCAGCAGCCGTGTTTGAGGATGGGACCATGTTTGAGGATGGGACCATGTTTGAGGCCATCGACTCCATCATCTTTTCAACAGGCTATGGTTACGTCTACCCCTTCCTTGATGACTCCACCATCAAAAGCAGAAATAGTGAGGTCACCTTGTTTAAAGGCATCTTCCCCCCAAAAATGGAGAAGCCAACCTTGGCTGTGATTGGCCTTGTCCAGTCCCTTGGGGCTGCCATCCCCACAGCTGACCTGCAGGCTCGCTGGGCTGCTAAAGTGTTTGCAAGTAGGTGGACCATTCTGTCTTTTATCCATTTAGTCAATGAGCATTTATTGAGCACCTACTATATGCCAAGTACTGTGCTAGGTGCTAGGAATACAAAGGGAACAAGACATATTCTTTAACCTTACACAGTCTAAAATAGAGCAAGGGGAATGTTAGGAAGTCTTAGGGTGTTCTGTAAAACAGAGGCAGGGAGTGGCAAGAAATAGAGAAAGGGACAAGAGCTTAAGAGCTATGTTACAGAGCTTAGACTTCTCATAGGGAAATTGGAGGGACTTTGCAAGGCTTTAAGCAAGAGAAAGACAGCAATAGGTAGAGGCAATGTCAAGATACACCGTGAAGGTTAGAAGGGCCCTGGAGGATGTTGCAGGCAATGCTAGAGATCTTACTGGTGTCAAACTCAGAATAGCAAGGTCAGGCCACACCCACTCTATTGACAATCTTCTCCTCCTCCCTCCACTCTAGACGCCATGGTCTCCAGTGGCTACAAGTGTGCTTTTGTGAGGAAATCAAGAATATGAGGATTACATGAAGAAAGGCAATGTCTTAAATATATTGATTTAATTTACATCAATCATACTGATCATCCTTATTACTTAAAGTGCCTTTTTATTCAAGGGTTCAAAAACCTTGGCAATATAGGTATACTTCACCTAACATATTGTCAGTAAAAACTTAGACTATAGGTAATGAAGAAAATGTTACAATCATAGACTGTATGTTTTCTAAAAATGTTGTGGATAAATAAGCTATTTCAAGTGTACCACAAAGGATCATTATTTAAATAAACCCTGTCATGCAATCTTTTATAAGGGTGCTTTCTGTAAAATACTTCTATTGTGTTTTTCTCTTAAAGGCACAACAGTGCCAAGCACCTGGGGTTTTAGAAAAAAGTTGGCTACAGTTCATAAACCCAAGAAATTTACATGAAACAAAAGGTATCATTTATCCATTCATCAAATACTTACTGAGCACTACTATGTGCCACACTCTATCTTGGCACTTAGGACACAACATCAAACAAAGCAGACAAAAATTTTAGCAAACATCTGACCACAAGGTACTTCCAGGCTAGGTAAGATGCTACCAATGACTAGGAAGTGTTCTGCATCATGAATGTCATAATAGCTTTCTACCACTGTTACAAAGGCAAAAGAGCTACACTCAGTAATCAGATGACCCCTCAGTAATCAGATGACCCCTCCACTGCAAAACACTAACAATTTTCTGATGCCCCTTAAGATCCCCTCTGGCTGCAGACTGTTGCTGGAAAACTCATGCTTCTTTCCATTGTTCCATTTTAATTGCCATGTCCCTTAGAGTGAACTATTTTACCAGATTATTTCTTGAAAGAATTATTAATAAGAGGATAAAAATAAGAAATACAAAGAAACTGTTAAGCTATTATGTGCATGAGGTGCATCTCAGGCATGTTGAGGATTAGACCTTGCATGACATCACAGAAATATGAGGTTGGGTGATTTGAAGTCACAAACTTCTCTGTGGTCATTATCTCACTGCAGCCCAGCTTTGCCATTCACAGAGGGGTTCATTGCCTTCTCAAGTCTTTATTTCTGTAAATTGTTATTCTACTAAAGATACCAAAGGCAGCTCCTCTTGATACAAAATCTTTTAGGGACATAGTTCATAAATACTAAGAAAAATTCTTCATGTGTCATTATATATTTCTGATTTTTTCATCTTTTTAAATATTTCTTTCTTCATTTCTTTTCTAGAATCATGTACTTTGCCAACTACAAGTGAAATGATGGATGATATTGATGAGTAAATGGGAAAAAAACTCAAGTGGTAAGAGATTGTACTTGCTAATGAAACAAATCCTGTTTTTCCTTTACATGTAGGAAAACATTTATATATTTTATAATATTTTTGCTAGTCAAAGTTCATGTTTTTGGAACACTTGTTATGATCAAGCAGTATTCTACAGGAAAATAATAGTCATTACACATCACCTGTACTGTAGACCACACTACACTCTAGAGTACAGTTTCTCAAATGGAGGTGATTTTGATCCCCAGGGGACATTTGGCAAAGTCCAGAGATATTTTTGATTGTTCCAAGTATAGAGGGCGTACTATTGGCATCTAATGTGTAGAAATTAGGATACTGCTAAACATCCTACATTGCAGAGGACAGGCCTCCTAAACAAAGAATTATCCAGCTCAAATGTCTCCAAGAATTCCTTTCCAACAGCCGCATGTCCACCAGCAAGTTAACTAGCTGGGAACCGAGCACTGTAATAAGAAAACCAAATGAAGAACTAAACTGAGTTCACCTGCCCTGGTATTTTCTTCTAAAAGAATATTCATTTCTGATTCATCCAAACACGGGTTCTCAAGTACACCATAAATGGGACTGGAAGAAAGTCATTTAAGTGGCTAGACATCAGATATTTAAATGTAATTTTTATGTTAATTACTTCTATATAAGTAAATCTTTTTCAAATTATATATTAAAATCTGTTGAAAGAATAATTAGATAATGAATCCCATTCAGATGAATAGGTGACTGTATAAGAAGTTTCTTTCCTCTTTCGAGCTCTAACACATCATTCACTGCCAGGTAGTTGCTGGCGAAGGTAGTTGCTGGCGAAGGATCTAGAGAAGGGAAGACTTGGAACTTTCAGACTCAACAAAACCTCCCCTGCATCTCATCCAGTTCACAGGACAGCTCTGCGAAGTGGGCACCCTTGTGTGCTAGCAATTCACACAGCTCACTCTACTTACCACCCTTTCTATTACAGGCCAGTAGGAATAAGGAGGAGGAAGAAGAGAAGCCCCAAAGTCAACCTCATTTCTTAAATGGTAGACTCTTTTTCAGGGCTCATAAAAGTAAATGAGGCCATGCCCCAAAATCTAACCCCGGGGCAGATCCTAAGCAATGTTTTATAAAGAATAACCATGTGTTAAAGAGTAAATTAAGTTAATCAGTCATCTGGACACATGAAGGTCAGTTCACTCCAGGCCAGAAGCAGAAGACCAAAATAACATCAAACTTAGATAGAGATTAGGAAGTAGAAAAAAACCAACCCATTTATAGCCAAAGAACAAATGATAAATTCAACGCTGTGGAGAAAGAAGGGTGGGATAGTTTGGGAGACGCTGACTAAAATGCTACTTTTCTGAGGTAGAACGTAAGAAACCAGTTCTTGGTTTACAACTGTGACACTCATTCCAGTATGTGTTCTTTCCTCAGGTTTGGCCAGAGCCAGACTCTGCAGACAGATTACATCACGTACGTGGATGAGCTGGGGTCCTTCATAGGGGCCAAGTCTAACATACCATGGCTTTTCCTGACTGATCCCCAGCTGGCCCCGGAGGTGTTCTTTGGTCCTTGCAGCCCATACCAGTTTCGACTGATGGGACCAGGGAAGCGGGCTGGGGCCAGAAATGCCATCCTGACCCAGTGGAATAGGACAGTAAAGCCCACCAGGACGAGAGCTGTCAGTGAAGCTCAGAGACCCCAACACGTTCACAATTTGCTCAAAATGCTTTCATTCCCAGGGCTTTTGCTGGCTGTTTGGCTTACATTTTATTAATGAGGAAGTCCTTTACGTCTCAAAGTTTAGCCTAGGAGTTTAATCACAGATATGTATGTAGTTTAACACTAGATATATACACATATGCATACATAAAATCTCAGAGCTACTCTTTCCCTTCCTGCAGATGTAAAAATGAATTCTGGCCCATTTAACTCAAAGTCTAATAAAACGGAAAATACTCAGCCTCTCCCTTTCTGATGAAAATCTGTACTCTGAAAAGGCTTTTTGCATGCTGCATTGGCAAGTTTGGAGGTGCTTGAGATAAGGAAGAAGGAGAGTGAAGAGGAGTGAGCACAGATTTGCAGGATGAACAAAGTTTAGTAAATTTCTTAAGGGTGTTTTACTATGGGGAGAAATGACAACACAACAATGTTGAATCCTCTAACCTGTGACACAGTATATCTCTTCATTTACTTAGATCTTCTTTAATTGCTCTCAGCAGTGTTTTGCAGTTTTTCGTGTATAGTTCTTACCCATCTTCTGTCAGATTTATCCTATGTCATATTTTTGGATGTTATTACAAATGGTAGTTAAACATTTTTTAATTTCCTATTGTTTACTGTTAATATATAAAAATTCAATCATTTGTTCTAGTAACTCTTTTGTAGGTTCCATAATACTTTCTACATAAATAATCATGTTGTCTAAAAATAAAGATAGCTTTACTTCTCCAATTTCCATTTGGATGTCTTTTATCTCTTTTTTCTTGCCTTACTGCATTGAAATTCTAGTATAATGTTGAATAGAAGTGGTGAGATCAGACATCCTTGCCTTGTTCCTAATCTTAGGAATAAAGCATTGAGTCTTTTACCAGTAAGAATGATGTTAGCTATAGATACTTCATAAATACCCTTTATTAAGTTGAGGACGTTTTCTTCTATTCCTAGTTAGCTGACAGTTTTGGTCAGGAATGGAAGTTGGCTTTTGTCAGACGCTTTTTTTTTTTTTTTTGCATCTGATGATCCTCTGGTTTTGGTTAAAATATGGTGAATTATATTGACTATTAACCCAATCTTGCATTGCTGAAATAAACCCCACCTGGTCATGATATATTACCCATTTTATACATTGTAGCATTATATTTGTTAACATTTGTTAAAGATTTTTGCATGTATGTTTATGATGGATGTTGATCCGTATTTTATTTTTTGTAATATTTTGGCTTGGTTTTGGTGTCAATGTAACATTGGTCCCACAGAATGAGTTAGAGAGCATTCTGTCCTCTTAAATTTTCCGGAAGAGTTTGTTTATAATTGGCATTATTGTTTCCTTAAATGTTTGGTAGAATTCACCAGTGAAATCATTTTGGTCTCTAGGTCTTTGTGGAAAAGTTTTTAAACTACAAACTCAAGTTCTTTAACAATATAGGACTACTCAGGTTATGTTTCTCTTCTTGAGACAGTTTTGGCACTATGTGTTTTTTAAGCATTCATTCACTTTATCTAAGGGAATTCAGTGGAGATATGACAGTCTTATCAACAAATAATACCAGAGCTATTGGATATTTATATGACCTGAAGAAAATTCAATTAATACTTTGCACCATATACAAAAATTAACTCAAAATGGATCATAGAATTAAATGTAAAACCTAAAAGTATAGCATGGAGCACTGGGTGTTATACACAAACAATGAATCATGGAACACTACATCAAAAACTAATGATATACTGTATGGTGACTAACATAACACAATTTTAAAAAACTAAACATATAAAACTTCCAGAAGAAAACATAAAAGAAAGTCTTTCAATTAGGCAAAGATGTCTTAGATATAATGTCAAATGCACAATCCATGAAAAAGAAATTTTATAAATTAGGCTTTATCAAAATTAAGAACTTCCACTCTTGAAAAGACACTGTTAAGAGACTGAAAAGACAGACTACAGATGGGGAGAAAACATTTGCAAATACTAAAGCTCATAGAAGATGTGTATTCAGAATATATAAAGGAAGCTCAAAATTCAATAAGATACAACCCAATTTAAAAATGGGTAGAATTTAAACAGATGCTTAACCAAGGAAGATATACAGATGGCAAATAATCATATGAAAAGATATTAAACATCAAGTCATTAAGAAAATGCAAAATAAAATGTTAATACATAGCTGCCTTGACCATAACAAGCATTACCAAAGAAGAAAGTAACTAAAGCTCATATGCTGCCGATAGAAATGTGAAATGGTATAACCACTTTAGAAAACAGTGTACCAGTCTCTTAAAAGTTAAACATATATCTGCCATATGATCTAATAATTCAACTCAGATATTTATTAACCTAGAAAAAATAAAAATACATGTCTATACAAAAACTGATATATAAATATTCATAGCAGGTTTATTTGTAATATCCAAAAGCTATGCACAAGCTAACGTAATCAAAATATTAATGGATGGGGCATCTAGGTGGCTCAGTTGGTTGAGCAAATAAATCGATTTTGGCTCAGGTCATGATCTCAGGGTCCTGGGATCGAGTCCCTGCATTGGGCTTCCCACTCAGTGGGGAGTCTGCTTCTCTCCCTCTTCCTCTGCCCCTCCCCTGGCTTGCATGTGCACACACACTCTCTCTCTCTCTCTCTAGAATAAATAAATAAATCTTTAAAAAATGTTAATAGATAAAGTGTGGAACATTCACACAATGTAATACTATTCAGCAACAAAAATGAATGAACCATTTTTACCCACAGCAATGTAAATGAATCTCAAAATCATCATACCGAGTGAAAAAAGCCAGACAAAAATAAATACGTACTGTATTCCAATTATATAAGATTCTAGAAGGTTCAAATCAATCTAGAGTGAAAGAAGTCAAATCAATGCTTTCCTAGGGACGGTGGGAAGCTGGGAGCTAGGGAAATGTAGGCAGGAGGGATTACCAAGGGGTAGAGGAAATTCTGAGGGGTGATGGATACACATGTTATGTTGATTGTGGTGATGGTTTCACAGATGTATGCATATGCCAAAACTTGTCTAAATGCACATTTAAATTTACGTAGCTTACTACATGTCAACTGTACCTCAATAAAACTATTTTAAAAATATAATGGATACTTGCTTTGGGAGACATAAACATAGAGGATTATATACTACTACTTATATCTCTTGGCTGCCCTTTCATTGTGTACAGCTCTTCAGAGCTCTTTTTGATTTGCTAGATAGGATACTGCCCAATTCATGAATCATTAAATAAAACCAATTAGATCTTTGGCAAATTAAATGGACAGCCACATTACTTTTCACTAACTAAATTTGATGGAATGTTACTTAAAACCTCTGTGTACTTGGTCCTAGGTAATAAATAGACATACATTTGTCCCTTCCCATCATTTTTACTAATTATGCAAAATAAAATGGGCAGCCCACCTGGTTGGCTGAGTCCGTTAATTATCTGCCTCTTGATTTTGACTCAGGTCATGATCTCCAGGTTTTGGGATTGAGCCCCACATTGGACTCCATGCCGAGTGGGGAGTCTGCTTGAAGATTCTCTCTCTCTCTCCCTTTGCCCCCCCTCTTTGCCCCTCCCTCCTCTCTCTCCCTCATTCTCTCTCTCTCTTGCTCGCTCTCTCTAGAATAAATAAATAAATCTTTTTTTTCAAAATGGGTAAAAAACTAGGGAGCATGTTGACTCAAAGGGCACTTGATTTTTCTGAATGGGTACTTAGCCAGATCATCCTTAAAATCTGTGTGTGTGTGTGTTAATGTGTATATGTGGGTGTGTTTGTGATTGAATCTAGTGTAAAAACAAGACAGACAAACTTATTAACAAACTGAATAAATAAAACCTTTTTTTTACCAGTTCATTATCAATGTTCATCACTGATTTTTAAACCAGATTGGTAGAAAGGTTAAGAGACAGCTCTGTTTCATGTCATCAGACACAAAAGAAACTATGTATTTAACATTCTACTTAGCCTCTAAAATTCTAGCATAGGGTAATAACCTAAATGAAGTAATATATTTAGCACTGTGATTACAAGAGTTCATTAACATTGATTCTCTTCTCTCGTGTTTGTATATTATGTCATATCTGAATCTTTTAGAAACTTTATTAATATTTATGACATTTCCTCTAATTATTAACATCAGCTTGCCCTATTTTACAATAAGGAAATAGAAACTTTGAGGTAACATGGGGATTAAGGGCAAAACTAAGTCTCTTCCTCTCCAATCCAGAGTTCTCTCCAAGAGCTATGTGACCAGTTCCTACCATCTCTTCTAAAGAGCACATGAGGGGCGCCTGGGTGGCTCAGTTGTTAAGCGTCTGCCTTTGGCTCAGGTCATGATCCCAGGGTCCTGGGATGGAGTCCCCATCAGGCTCCCTGCTCCGCAGAAGCCTGCTTCTCCCTCTCCTGCTTTCTCTTTCTTTAAAGAGATAAGACCACAACCTCTCCTTCCCCCCTGCTTGTGTGTTCCTGCTCTTGCTATCTCTCTGTGTCAAATAAATAAATAAAATCTTTAAAAAAAATTAAAATAAACAACACATGAGGGCATCAAGAACAAAAAGGACATATTTATATCACCACCCATGAAATAGTCTTCGTATATGGGAATATTCCTCAGAAATATGATTACATGCATTGTTCACTTTGTATGTGTGTAATGCATGTAAGTATACATAAATACATATGTATACATGCATATATACGATATGCATATGCATACACATGTATGTATGGTAGGCACAGTGCATTTAGTCAAATTTCTGAAGAGTACTACCTACTTTATATGTGACGTGTGTATATAGAGAGAGGGGTGTTCATATATGTGTGCATATATAACACACAGCAAGATATGATCAAGACTATAAAGGAAAGAGATATGAAGGGAGTAGTGCATAGGAAAGAAAGATTTTCCCAGGGCATTGTTAGAAAGGTTTCTCTGAGGAAGTGTCATTTGATGTGGACTATATTCTTCATGTCATAGGAGGGAATAAAAGGAACCATCTCTACTGAGAGAACCCCATCTGCAAAGTTCGGGAGATATAAAGAAGCAGGGC